TCTGTCTCATTTATTACTACCAATTTTTTTATGTTTTTGGGGCCACATCTGGTAGTGCTCAGAGCTTATTCCTCATTCTGTGCTCAGGGATCCATAAAGGATACTTGGGGTGGGGGACTCCTGGCTCATTTTATTTTGAACAAAGTTCCTGAGGCTTATCCATGGTGCTGCAAATAGCAGAATTTTCTTCTTTCTTAAGACAAGAAATATTTCACAGTATATATTACATACATATATCCTAAAGTGTATATATTCCACATTTTCTCTTTGCAGACATCTGCCACTAGATGCTTCAGTTATTTCCATGACTTGGGTTCTGTGAATAATGCAACAGTAAACAGAGAAATGCAGTTATTTCCTCCAGACAGTGATTTTATTTCCTTAAAGTGAAATCGCTGAACTCCCATTATAGATGACAGTTATAGTTTTAATCTTTTGAGGAGTTTCCATATTGTTTTCCACAACATCTGCAATGATTTCTAGTCCCACTAATTTCCATTCCCAGCATACCAGGGCTCTGTTCCCCAACATCCTCACTAACTCTTATTATCTTTGGGTTTTTGAGTAACAGCCATTGGTCATAACTTCTCATCAGCTGGTCTTCTAACATTCTGAGAGAGCAAAAAGTTTGTTCCCCAAGAAGGCAGTTGGGGTAGAGAAGGAACCACCATGACAATGATAGTTGGAAATGATCACTCTGGACAAGAACTGCGTGCTGAAAGTAGGTAAAGTAACAAACATGATAGATAACCTCTCCGTATCTATACTGCAAACCATAATGCCCGGAAGGAGAGAGAAAAAGGGAAAAAATGCTTGCCACAGAGGCAGGCTGGGGGTGGAGGTGGGGGTGGGTTGTGGGAGGGAAACTGGGGACATTGGTGGTGGGAAATGTGCACTGGTGGAGGGATGGGTATTGGATCATTGTATGATTGAAACCTAATCATGAACAGCTTTGTCACCGTACTTCACGGTGATTCAATTAAAAAAAAAGTGGTTGATGGGCAAGCCCATTTGGCTGCGAGTCTCTTGGGAAAAAGCATACCCCGTTTACTTTCTGTACCCCCATGTGCTGTTAAGGCTGCATTTCCTGACTGTGGTGCCATTTCTGCCATGGTCTGTTCTCAACAGCATCTAAGGTCGTATTTCAGGGGGTGTCTGTTCAGACAGCGTGAATCCTAGCACGTAGCGAGAGAATGTCCTTGCAGTACTGTTTCATTGCTCATCATTTAGTACAAAAGTGATTATAATTAAAAAGGGTGCCATCATTTAACTGAAGTACTAAGATCTACTGCCTTATTTTCTACTATTTACGGACACACATATACTGGGTGCTTTTCAATGGGGAGCCAATATAAATCCTAGGGATGGCTAGTCCACTTTTGGTGGGAGGGGAAAATAAAGCAAGATAATTCAGTAACTTCTTGGCTTTTAGAAGGTGGCTTCGACTCTATCTCTCTTGCTCTTTCAGACCAGAGGCTACACTGAGTACTGCATGAAGCTCTGATTTGCTCCTTGAGCACCAGGAGCCAGGATTTTGGGTAGAACTGCACAACTGGATACCAGCTGGAGGGCAGAGCTGAGTCTGGTTAAATGGATCAACTAGGGAAGGGGAGAGGGCGGTGGCTTGTAGCTTGAAGAAAGAGTTTTGAGACTCAACCAAGTGCCCTTCCTGACAAGTCCAGCAGCCGTCAGGTGGCTGGCCAGGGAGTATGGAGGTGGTCAAAAAGGAACAAGGCTGAGAAGGGCCAGAAAGAAAGTTGATCTGAATTTGGTGGTAGGATTATAATGAGGATTAAAGATTTCCAAGGAAGGAATCAAGTGCCTTTTTTTTTTCCTTCACATCTTCTGAACTAAATGCCAATTAGTTCCAGACAGCTACTTTTCCATGGCAATGGTTGGGCTGTTTGTTTATTTGCCACTTAATTCAAATTCTATGAAGTAATTCACCAAGCTCAGGGGGACAATGACCGCGGAGCCAGTAAGGAAGTTTCAGTGTGCACACAGCCCACCGAGAAGACAATGGCCGGCACCGAAGGCTGCAGGCGGCTCTGTGCAGAGCTGAGAGAGGGAGGCTCAGAAACAATGACAGACCCAGCCAGCACCTCCGGTTACAAAGGGGAAGGGCACTGAGACCGCCTCACAAGTGCCACTGGCAAGAAATGGAGATCGAGGTGACTGGCAAATGGCTTCCTAGTGCACAGAGGGGGGAAAAAAACCGGGTAGTTCCATCGGAAGGAACTGGTTCCCAGTGTTTCAAGGGGTTGGGAATGCTGATGATAGAGGTTCAACAATCATTTTTTAGGGCTAGATGAAAATCAGATTCTCACTGAAATGGAGCACAAACAATGACACAGGTCAAATAAACGGCTGTGTGATGTCTGGAGAGTGTGTCTCTTCCTTTAAAGATGCAGTGTAAGTGAGGAGGGAGTGCTGATGGTTGGAGCATAAGCACTGTAAAACCTTAGCACCTGGTGGTGCCTTGAGCACCGCCATACCACGTGTGGCCTACATAACTCCCAAATGAAAAAAGTGAAAAATAGCCTAGGGCCAAGGAAGTGATATTAAGAGATTTGATTTAAAATGCAACTTTTGGGATAAGTCAGATACACATACACAAACACACACACATACACATACATGTACATGTATCATATGTACACATATGCATATATACACATATATGTATCTATCTTTGAGTCTCTCTCTCTCTCTCTCTCTATATATATATATATATATACATATATATCTGAGTTTTCTTTAAATTACTGCCCTGGTATTAGGGTAAATAATTCAAGGACTTGGGGATTTCAGCACTTAAAAAAATTGTTTTTTTGGGTCACACCTGGCAGTTCTCAGGGATTACTCCTGCTTCTTCACTCAGGCATCATTCCATTTGGGGCTCAGGGGCCACATGGGGTATCAGGGATTGAACCCAGGTTGGCCTGGTGCAAGACAAGCACTATACCCACTGTTCTGTGATTTTTCAGCCTTCCCACAGATAAGAAGGGGAGGCTGGGGACCCTCAGGCTCCGCCCCTTCTGTCTAGTCTACCTGCTCATTGTTTTCCTATTGCCTTTGGATGCCTTCCTGGGAGCAGGTGATCGGGTCCCCCCTCCTCCAACCCTGCTGTCCTCTACACCTTGCTTTGGTCATTTCTGCTTCTTGTCAGGCTTCTCTCCCCCCTGGGACTCCCCCCCCCCCCCCCCCACAACCCGTAAGCCTCTGGGTTTGTGACCCAGTGCTGAATGATACTTGAACCCATTAGCACCTGAGAGCAGGGGTGTCACCAGGGTTGCTCTGTGCAGCCCTTCACTGTACAACTCCATTGCCAGCCACATGCACGATGGCTGTGACTTGTTCCCTGTGTCCCTGCACAGCTGTTGGTGGGACCCCCAGTGCTGCTCTCTGCTGTTGCCTAAGGAAATATTAGAGCCTTGAATATAAGTCAGAGCTGAAGCAGGCAGGCTGGCAAACAGCAACAGGGGACCCCCTTCCCATCCCCATGGCAATGACTTTTGGGGAAGTAATAAAACCAATGAGTCCTAAGGCTACCAGGGTCACCTTGAAGTGATAACCAGGTAAAGGCCCAGAACAGACCCAGAGAAGGCCTGACCCCACTCTGAGAAATGCTCCAGAAGGAACAAAGGCCAGGGCAGGAATGTCAAAGAAGACCGTTAACGGCTCCAAATTTTTCCCTTTGGCAACCACCCTAGCAATGAGCTCTTACTCAGGTAGAAAGCCCCGCATGGGGCAGCTACAAAAGCAAATTTGGAACAAAGAAGCAAACACAGGTGTGGCTTGGGTACATGGTACCAGAGCACATGTCACTTGCATCTCCCCTCCTAAGGTATGTACTTCTGTGTTATGTATGTGCTCTCGAGCACATTACATAACACAAAATGAATTCTGTGTTATGTATATGCTCTTGAGCACCTTACTCTCTCTCTTTCTCTCTTTCCCTTTCCTCAGAACTTCCAAATAAAACTGTTTTTTTTTTTTTACTACACTGCTAATTTCCTTTTTTGGTGAAGGCCTGGGTAAGGTCTAGCACTGACTTGACTTTGCTGCAAAAAGCAAGGCTCACAGCAGACTCCTATCGGTGTAGGATTCCCCAGACACTCCAAGGGTGGCAGAGGTGGACAGAGAGAAAGCAGATTGCCTTCTTGAGGCTACGACCTCTCTCCACCCCACCTCACCAAAGACACCCAGCATCAAAGCTATTCAGTGTTTCCTTCAGTCCCTAGAAAATTCAGGTGGAGAGAAAATGAAGAGTCACAGAGCACAGGGAGGATCAGCAGAAGGGCCTGTTGCCACCAACTCCTTCCTTTTGAGCTCCTGCAGCTCAAACCTTCCACTTGGGTGTCATTTCTGGACAGAACAGGTCCAGCTACTCGTGTCCTCGCAGTACTCGAATGACTGGACTCCCTGGAGTCATCGAGAAACCTTGAGTAGGGTATTTCAGCAACGGTGAGAAAAGCAAGTTCATGCTTCAGAGAATCTTGCTATGTGAACTCTGGAAATCACTGCTTGGTTTTAACTGCCCCCCGACCCCCTAGTGAGGAGGTTGCTGTGAGGACTTTCATGCTCTTTCTCTCAGGGGGAACTCGAGTGATTCTTCACCTGGAGGGGGGAAAAAGTGTTGCCACCCATCCCGAGTGATTCAGATCCCACTTCGAGGACACCATCACCACCACCAGACTCCGTGTGAATCACTCAGAGCCTGTGGAGCAGGTGGACGAGAAACTTCGAGTGCCCGAGAGCCGCAGGTGAGGTTTGTTTCCCCGAAAGACAGACGTCATGCTTCAGAGTCATGCCTCGGAGACTCGAAGTGCCTCAAATCGAAACTGGCTCTGCCGCAGACCTCATGTGTGGGTGACATGGACTTCAGCCCCCGAATGGGGATGTGGCACAGGGTCTACCTTCCAGCTCTGACTCAGCCCACTGTGCCCAAGTCAATAAGCCCCAAGCAACAACCACATAAACAGACCCGACTACTGTACCTCCTCAGGCAAGCTGACCACCAAGTCATTTTTCGTCTGTCCGACGAGCGCCTGCCAGAAATATTCACTGCATGCGGCCAGCACAGCCCGGTGGGCCCGGAACTCCTTCCTCTCCACGATGAGAGTCACGTCACAGAGAATATCCTTTTTCCGCTGGTCATTGAGGCCCAGGAGGATGTTGGTACAGTGGACTGTGGACTCATACACATACATGGGGGAGTCAGGCTTCTCATCCACAGACATGCCGTTGACACCCTGCAAGAGAGACAGGCCGGGTCAGAGAGAAGGTGTGAGAGAACACGCCCGCTTCCTGCGCCTCCCGCCAGGAGCTGCTCAGCAGCGTGTGCATGTTCCACCAAAAATACAGACTTATTATTATTTTTTTTTTAAAAAAGCTACCCGTGACGTATTCAATATGTCAAACACAGTAACAAGAAGTCTCAAAATGGAGACGTTACTGGGCCCAGTCGAGCAAATCAATGAACAACAGGAGGACAGTGCTTTTATTATTGAATCACCATGCGATGCAGTTACAAGCTTTCATGTTTGAGTTTCAATCATACAATGATTAGACACCTATCCCTCCACCAGTGCACATTCTCCACTACCAATGTCCCCAGTATAACCCCCCTTTCCAACACTCCCCCTGCCTCCATGGCTGACAGTTTCCCCCACACTCTCTCTCTACTTTTGGGAATTATGGTCTGCAACACAGATACTGAGAGGTCATCATGCTTGGTTCTTCATCTACTTTCAGCACACACCACCCATCCCGAACGATTCCTCCAACCAGCATTGACTTTGTGATTTCTTCTCTATCCCAGCTGCCTTCTCCCCCAGATCATGAGACAGGCTTCCAACTCCTGGCCTTTGTGTCTACTGACCTTGGGTGTCCGTCTTCTATTATGTTACTGTATATTCCACAAACGAGTGCAGTCCTTCTATGTTTGTCCCTCTTATTCTGACTCATTTCACTTAGCACGATACTCTCCATGTCCATCCGCTTTTAAGCAAGTTTCATGACTTCATCTGTCCTAACAGAACACACACTCATTTGTGTTCTTCTTGTTTTTTTTTTTTTTTTTTGAGGGGCCCCTCGGCGGAGCTTACACCAAGCAGGGCTCAGGAGGCCACACCGTGCCAGAGACTGACATTTAGGTCGTGAGCATGTGCTCCAGCCTTTGGGTCTATGTCCCCAGCTCCCAGAACATGTGCCTGGAAAGTCATATCATTGACGGCCATCCTTACTCCTTATATTGTGTCCTTTTACAGTACTCCCAGTTATGGAGCCAGATCTTTTTAAAAAATTCATTTTTATCTTTCAAATTTTATTTATTTTATTTTTAAATTTTTGGCATGAGAGAATTTTATTAACAATTAGCACAGCGGTAGGGTGTTTGCCTTACAAGCGGCCAACATGGCCGACCCGAGTTCGATTCCTCTGCCCCTCTCGGGGAGCCCGGCAAGCTACCGAGAGTATTCGATATGCCAAACACAGTAACAACAAAGTCTCCAATGGAGACGTTACTGGGCCCGCTCGAGCAAATCGATGATCAACGGGAGGGCCTTTACCTTTACCTTATTAAAGATATTCTAGTGATATAATTTGTTTCTTATGTTAATTTTCCATTAATCTAAATTTTTCCATAATATAAATATTTATCAATCAATGCAAGTAAAGTACATTTGGGTAAACTTCAGAGTATAAAATATATATCCTTTCAGTAAGAACTGAAAGAACTTACCAGTCTAGTTCAAATTCCCCGAGGAAAACTGTCTCTCCTATTCCAGTTATTCATTTTCTTTTTCTTTTTATTTAAGTGAATGGCCATGAGATATAGTTACAAAGCTTTCATGATTGAGTTTCAGTCATACAATGATCGAATACCCATCTCTCCACCAGCGTACATTTCCCACCACCAATGTCCCCAGTATCCCTTCCACCATTCCCACCATACCCCACCTCCTGCCTCTATGGCAGACAGTTTTCTTCTTATTCTCTCTACTTTTGGGCATCATGGTTTGCAATACAGACACTGAGAGGCCATCATGTTTGGTACTTTATTTACCTTCAGCACACCTCTCCCTCCTGAGTGATCCCTCCAACCATCATTGACTTAGTGACAGCACAGCGGTAGGGCATTTGCCTTGTGCGCAGCCAGCCCAGCCGATCTGGGTTTGATTCCTCCGCCCCTCTCAGAAAGCACAGCAAGCTACTAAGAGTATCTCACCCTCATGGCAAAGCTTCGCAAGCTACCTGTGACATATTCAATATGCCAAACACAGTAACAACAAGTCTCAAAATGGAGACGTTCCTGGGCCCACTTGAGCAAAATCGATGAACAACGGAGGCCAGTGTTTGTTTGGTTTTTTTTATTAGTAAATCACCTTGGGGTACAGTTACAGACTTATAAACTTTCTTTCTTGCATTTCAGTCATACAATGGGACATTTAAAACACTTATATGCTTTTTTTTTTTTTTGCAGGTAGGCACCCCTGTCACTGGACACATATATAGTATATGTGGTGCTGGGGATACAACTGAGGTTGGCAATGGGCAAGGCCAGTACCTAACCCCCTGGACTCTTTCTCCAGCCCCCAAACACAAACACAAGCATTCTTCTTTTCTTTTCTTTTTTCTTTTCTTTTCTTTTCTCTTTTTTGAAAGTCACACCCAGGGACTGGAGCGATAGCACAGTGGGTAGTGCGTTTGCCTTGCACGCAGCCAACATGGCTGACACAGGTTCGATTCCCAGCATCCCATATGGTTCCCCGAGCACCGCCAGGAGCAATTCCTGAGTGCATGAGCCAGGAGTAACCCCTGAGCATCGCCGGGTGTGACCCAAAAAGCAAAAAAAAAAAAAAAGTCACACCCAGCAATGCTCAGGGGATACTCCTGGCTCTGAAATCAAGAACCATTCCTAATGGTACTCGGGGGACCATATGGGATGGAGGGGATCAAACCTGGGTCAGCTGTGTGTGCAAGGAAAGTGCCTTACACTTTGTACTACTGCTCTGGCCCCACAAATATTCTTTATTTTTTCACTGGGCAAATATTCACTGCTGTTTCTCTATAGCGAGCATTAGGCTAAATGGTAGGAACTTCTGCTTTCATAGAATTTACACACAAATGTGGGAATTCAGTGGTTACAGACTGTTGCTAGGGAATATGAAAGAGGAAAAAAAAAACCCTTAGGCTCTTAAAAAGTACTACAGCTTGACTGTTCAGTAAGAAAGCTCAGTGGTAGAATGGCTCAGCATCAGGGCACTTATAGCCCTGATTTTGATCCCTGACATCCCAAAATTTTTATGAATTTTTTTGGGGGCATACCAGAAGATATTCAGGGCTTACTCCTGGTTCTGTGCTTAAGGATCACTCCCAGCAGGGTCAGGGGACCACATGGGGTACTGGAGATTGAATCTGAATTGGCCTTGTGCAAGGCAAGCATCTAATCTGTATTATCTCTCTGGTCCAATAGTTTTAATATTAAATGCTAATATATACACATATACACTTCAAAACTTGGTAGTTTGATTTTGTTAGCTGACTGAAAAGAAACTTGCATATATTTATGGTCCCAATTAAACTATTAACTGAGATTTGTGTTAAGAGAAAATAAGTTATTTTGAAGTATTTGCAATGCTCTCTTGATGAAGTACATGTAAGGTCCTAGACAGAAATTTGACCAAGCAGAGAAAGCATCCAATCACAATGTATAATTTAACAACTGAACTAAACAACATGCATACTGAGTAGATATTGCAATTGCTCTCTGCCACTTTAAGACAAAGCAAAACCAATATAATGCTATTATTACTAATAAAAAACTCTTGAGTACATTTTGTTGTCATTATCTCAGTAGACTTGATGTATTTTCTCTTTAAGGAAATATAGTATGTCACATTAGAAGTCACAGAAAAGATGGATTCCCCAGTGTATATTACTTTAACAAAAGAGTTCTTTCCTTTTTTGAAAAAGAAGCACATTGACTTTTGATGCCAGGGATTAAATCCTGAGATGCATACATACGAAGTCTATGCTGTACAACTGAGCTGCATTTCTTGCCCCTATATTGACATTTAAAAACACCCAGTGGGCTCAGAGAGATAGTACAGAGATTTACAGCACTTGCCTAGCATAAAATTGACCCTGGTTTAATCTTGGCACTGCATATGGTACCAGGAGTGATCCATGAACACCACCAGGAGTTAGTCTTGAGCACAGCCAAGTGTGGCCCCCAAATAAAATCCACCAAAAATCCAGTATCATAATTTAAATACAGTAATGTTTACTAGTAATATGAATTCTAATAGTGAATCTTATTTTCTTTTTAGCATTATTCTTTCAAAAAGTTTATATTCAATACACTTCATAGTATATGCAATGATATGAAAATCAGTGAACACCCATCACCACCAAAAGGACCCTATGCTCCTTGAGCCTCTGTGCCTCAGCTTCTGAAACCACAAGAAGTTGAAAATTAGTTGCACTTTTACCCTTGTATAATGGAATCATACACCTTGCATCTTTTATGCGTAGCATCCTTTACTAAGTATAGTTTTATTTTGTATGTGTGATTCATGTACTCCGGCCTGATAGCACAGCGGTAGGGCGTCTGCCTTGCACGCACCCAACATGGCCGACCCGAGTTCGATTCCTCCGCCCCTCTCAGAGAGCCCGGCAAGCTACCGAGAGTATCTCGCCCGCACGGCAGAGCCTGGAAAGTTACCCGTGGTGTATTCGATATGCCAAACACAGTAACAACAAAGTCTACAATGGAGACGTCACTGGGCCCGCTCGAGCAAATCGATGATCAACGGGAGGACAGTGACAGTGACAGTGACAGTGATTCATGGACATTGTTGTATTCTGCCATTCTGTGACTGGATTTCGATTTGATTCATTTAAAATTTCTGTTCTTTGCTTGATTTTTGACTTCTTTTGCTTTAGCTATTATTTATAGCTTAATTCCCTCTTACTTATTGGTATGTTATTTTATTATTTGTCTTAGGAGTCCTAATATTCTTCTTTAAGTTATCACAACTTACTCTCAAGTGATAATGTACCAATTCATGCGGACCTTACAACATTTTGCTCAAGCGGGCCCAGTAACGTCTCCATTGGAGACTTTGTTGTTACTGTGTCTGGCATATCGAATACGTCACGGGGAGCTTGCCAGGCTCTGCCGTGCGGGCGAGATACTCTCGGTAGCTTGTTGGGCTCTCCGAGAGGGGTGGAGGAATCGAACTCGGGT